GTAGTTGCCAAAGACTTTAATGTACCTCCACTTTATCAAAGCAGATTATGCCAAAGGATGTCCATAATGTTGTGAAATGAATGTTTGGCTATTGCACTTGCTAGCATCACAATCAAAAACTAGGCAATTTTTTCTTATTTAATTAATTACTAATTAACAGAAAATTTTGATCATTGATCCAGGTATTAGATAACAAAGAGAGAATATATCCTCCTTACTTCTTAGTCTCAGTTTCCCTTATTCTTGCTGCAGGATACACGCAGTCCATCCCAATTCCTGTGGTGAAGCAGTGGGTGGCCCTGGAAGTTGAATTGCATGCATAAGAGCTGCTGCCTGTTGCTCTGTGCTTGTTAGCTTCTCTCTGCTCTGCTGTGCTTCTTACTGGTTTTCTAGGATCGCCTCATCCAAGTTCAAGAATGGCCCATTCTGAAATGAAGAAAATCAAAGGTGACAGGAGGACTGCATGGGTGAACAAGGATCTCCAGATCAATATCAAATATAAAAAGGGTCTATAAAAGGAGTCAAAGCAGGGAAATGTGACATAGAAGGAACACAAAGACATTGCTCTATTGTTCAGAGATGGGATTTGGAAAGCCAAAGCCCACCTGGAATTGCTTCTGGTGAGACACATGAAGGACAAGAAAAGGCTATGGAAAATGTGGGCCTGCTGCTGAATAGGGCAGCTGCCCTTTGGCAAAAGACACATAAAAGGACATGGTGTTCAAGGTCTCCTTCACATTGGTCTTTACTGGTAAAAACATTCTTCAGGAATCCCAGGCTCATGAGATCAGTGGGAAAGTCTATTGCAAGGAAGACTTACCCTTGGAGGATGAGGATTAAGTCAGGGAACTTCTAAACAAACTGGACAAGCATAACTCCACACCACCTAATGGGATACACTCATGAATGCTGACAGATCTGTGCAGAGTCACTGGAAGGGTACTTGCAATTTGTCTTAGACAGATCTTGGCGATCGGGGAAGCTTCCTCAATATTGGAAGAAAGGGCATTTCAATTCTATCATCTCTATGTGACATAGTCCCCCATGGATGTCTCTTCTCTTGCCTGGTCTTCTTTTATTGATTTTATTTAAAAGAAATAAATTAAAAAAAAAAAAAGAAGAAGAAGTTGATGGACTGAAGCCCCAGTGATCAGGACTTGAACTTCAAAACAGTTGTGGATTGTTGGAAGACCAAGAGAATTGCCTACTCTCTGTTGCATAATTGCATTGTATGAACAACAGGTTTGCATTGTCTACAAAGAACTTGAGTATGAACTGTTTTTCATCTCTAGAGTAAATTTGGTTTGAAAAGCCAGTAAATTACACAAGGCAGGCTGCAGCATCTCTCACCCTTCAATCCCTTTTGTAAACCTTATCAAGTTTCCATCTTAACCATAGTGGTTAGAAAAGGAATAAGCATTTAATTGGAAATCTATGTAAACTTTTCAGTAAAAACAAGTTAATTGATCATGAAAAGAGTATATGAAATTAAAATTGTTAAGAACTGAAGGAAATTACATTTGTTTCACATAAAATGAAATGAGTAAACAGGGCAGGAAGACACTGCTTAACACTATAAGAATGCTATTATGACTGACTACCCACATTTAAAAGTTGTAAACACCATAGAGTGAGATGAACTGCATATAACTGCAAGTGATAAAATGACATTGAGCAATACACAATGCTGGCTTCATATCTGCCTCTTCATTAGAAACAAATCTGCTGTAGAGCAACAGACCTAACTCCACCTTAGTTTTCTGTAAGTGTTCCAGTGTCAGGCTAGGGAGAGTTTTGGGTGATGTACCATACTCAGAGTACACTACTGGCAAAATGATAATCATATTCTTCTTGTCCCTGAGGACTAGAATGTCACCTGCTTAATGTCCGTATAATTGGACCCTGTTTCCTGATACTGCATACATCTTCCCATATAATCCCATTCAGGAAGCTGTGTCTTAAAACCAGTTAGGTTCCTTGCCCCAGACTCATCATACTCTGCGAAAACTTTGCAGTACAGCCAGTTCTTTCAGTTTCTCACCCAGGGTGATTCATAGTCATATTTAAAAAAAGAAAAAAATTATTCCTCTGAAACACGGTCTTTGAGCTCAGATAGTTACTTCCCCTGCTTTCTTTTACTCATCAGTGTACTTAGGGAATGCAATCCCATCCTTTCTTTCACTAACCTTTTCAGTCTCTACCTTGCAACACAGGACTCTCATCTCCATGCCATTTCAATCATCCTCTCTGCACATGTTTTGTTTAAGTTCACCTTGCTGGAGAAAATGTATTAGGTGTCAGAGGTTAAATTCCCAGTGATGCTTCAGAATAATCTTCAGGCTATGCTAAAAATGTCATATCTAATAAACCTTAGGATGACATATGCCTTATTCAGGACTGATCCTATCTGTGTTTCACAGTCATCCTCTGACTGCCTAATACTCTCAGCTGCTGTAGCATACATTCCATCCTGATTTTCACAAGTGAATTCCCCGTTTCCAATGGAAAATTTTTCTATTTACTTCTAGGTGTGTAACTTCTGCACTTTGATGATACTAACACAGGACAGGGATCTAAATCATCTAGTAGAGCAGAACTGTGCAGCTGCTGTGATTCTCTCTGTCTTAAGAATGGTTAGCTCTTCCTCTTTTATGGAGAAAAAGAATGACCTGAACAGAAATACAATGCATTGCATGTTTGCATGACCTCACCCTAGTCTTGTCTCTTTGGAAAGTACCCTACACTTGACTTGCATTCCAAGAATACACTGCTTTGCAAAGCTTTTTTTATTCCCTCTTCCCAGGGTTTATTTTAAGCCACTAGTTCCTAAACGAGGGTCACAACCTTACTTTTATGCACAAGCTTGGCAGTATAATTGAAAGTGGGGTCATGACCCCAGAAGTGGGTCTTGATGGACAGATGTTCTGAGATTCAAAATCCCTTCTGACCTCTTTTAACACCATTATAGTCTCTAGCAGTGTGAAGTACATCATGAATGCAACGGGAGAAGATGAACCTCTACTTACCACAATTTGAGCAGTTCTGATGAACTCTGCAGCTCTCAACCAGAGTAGCAGTCATGTTGCTGGTCTCAGGATATTACTCTCAAGTGTTTGTCCAATGTGCAATTAACAATACAATTTTCTTTATGGCCATACAGGGTATTTTTACGCAAGTGCAATGAAATAATATAGCAAAGCTCTTAGTAATACACATGCACTTCATGAAGACTCCAGAGTTTATTCTAGGCCTCTCTACTTAAGGTGTGAAATTATTCTGACATGCTAATAAAGTCTTTCCAGGCTTCCATTGGGATCATATACATCATTCCTCTCAGATAAGTTGCATTCAGTTATTCCAGTGAGCTGAAATATTTGGTTTAATTACAGAACCATTGATGCCCAGATAGTGCTCTGGAAGGAATTCAATGGCAAACATAGCCATTTTCCATAGAAAAGGGTCAGAAGAAAAATAGATGCAGACTGAGACCTGCTTTTGCAAACATTATTATATAGTCTAGGACAGGTACAAAATAGAGGAAATGCCTTATAAGAGTGGCTGTGACTAATGACGAAATGTGCGCCAGAGACTCTAGTCCCACAGTTGTCTGGACGGTCAGTCACCCTTCTCACTTGTGTCTCCAAGTCTTCTTCCCAGAGTATGAGATTGCCTTTCTCTCACTGCAGAACATGGTTGCGAGGCAAGGGAACATAGAATCATAGAATCATCTGGGTTGGAAAAGACTTCTGAGATCACCAAGTCCAACCCTTGATCCACTACTGCCGCGGTTACCAGACCATGGCACTAAGTGCCACATCCAGTCTCATCTTAAAAACCTCCAGGGACGGAGAATTCACCACTTCCCTGGGCAGCCCATTTCAATGTCTGATTACCCTTTCTGTATAGAATTTCTTCCTAATATCTAACCTAAACCTCCCCTGGCACAGCTTAAGACCATGCCCTCTTGTCTTACTGATAGCTGCCTGGGAGAAGAGACCAACTCCCACCTGGCTACGACCTCCATTTCAGGTAGTTGTAGAGAATGATGAGGTCTCCTCTGAGCCTCCTCTTTTCCATGCTAAACAACTCCAGCTCCCTGAGCCTCTCCTCATAGGACTTGTGTTCAAGTCCCTTCACCAGCCTTGTTGCTCTTCTTTGGACCTGCTCCAGCACCTCCACATCCTTCCTGAACTGAGGGGCCCAGAACTGGACACATATCCAGATTCTGGAGTCGAGAAGCACTCTGGAGTCAAACTCTTTGGACAATGAGGCTATGTCTATACTAGGAAATTAGACAGTGCCTAGAACAGTCCCAGGCACTGGAATGCAATGTCTCTACACTTCCCAGTCAGAGGGCTCCCAGGTATGCTTTAGGTCTCTGCCTGTCAGCATCCCCAAATAATTCCTGGATATGGTCTGGTATCCGAACATTCCCTAGATCATTCTCACTGGGGACTTTGCATGAAAGTCCTCTGTTTTCCTGTCTGAAAGAGCCTACTAGAATAGACGTAGACTATTCCTACCAGTAAGCTGTTTTAAATTACATATGTAGAGTGTTAAAGGTTCCAATACCTTCAGTGAAGTTATTCGTGATGTAACAGGTTATTGTGGTTAAGAAGTTGGGATCTTCACTGTAGGAAGACAGTGAAGAGGCTTTCTGAAATACTCTGAGCAAGAAGCAAGAGTGTGAACAGCTTTCAATGGACCTGAAGGAGGCAGAAGTATTCCCTTTGTTATTTTTGTTGTGTACCTGCTCATCATCAATCCTGTCTTCTCCAGAGCAGGGAGATAGAGCTTGCAGTGGTGCTTGGGGAAGGATATGCCAGCCAAAAGTATAAACTTTTGCTGGTGGTGGTTCATCTGTGACAAATGACATTCACAGTACAGCTTAACCCTTTCTCTATTCTGACTGGCAAAGGTAGTAACTATCATGTCCGCTGGTCTCAGCCAGAAGTTCAGCAGCCTAATGCTTCAACAAGGTGTACCCTAATAAGGTATACCCGTGACTAAAGGAGTCTTCACTTTACGTGTCAATACGTTCTTTCATTCTATCATTTATTTTATATGTTTCCTGAAGAATAGCTGATGCCCAACAGATATTTTTTTCTGTCATGATGGTACTACCTGGTTTTCCTTTTTCTCCTATGAACCAGTGACAGCTTTTCTTTCTTTTGATACTGTATTCTACACTTTTAATTTAGGTCTGTGTTTTGTCTCAGTGGTCCTCCTGAATTTTAAGTAGTTTTGCTGAAGTTCCTAATTATTGTCCCAAATTTGCCCAAGGAAACCAACATGCCTCCACAGGAGTAGTACTTACCCTCTTTAAATGATTGTGCAAATGTCCATGTTAAGGACTTAACAAAAATAAATCATCCTCTGTTCTGATACTATCAGTTCAAGGTCTCTGGCTCTGACCCCAAGTGCTTTCCTGGTACCTAAACCCCAGAAGACAGCTGGCAGGACTGTGCAGCAGCAGTCAGGCAGTCTGTTGTATTTAAAGTGCTCTAGACACCTGGCGCTTTTTTTTAGTCCTTCTTCCACTGTGCTTTAGCACAGATGTTCAGCTATGGAACAGCTGTTGAACATTCAGAGTCCATTTGTATTTGTACCTGAATGTACTAAAATGTGGGTAACAGCGCATGATGTGTACTGCCCCTGGCTTTTCCAGTCACAGTGACTGAAAAAACCCTTCTCAGAGGACAAATTTTCACTATAATTTTTATCCCTTAAAATAAAACAAAAAAAATATACAATGAACATTCATACCCACTTCAGTATACAGGTCCAGTGACTACAACTACATGTGTAATCATATGGAGAGCTCAAACAGTGGATGACAAAGACAGCACACACTTTTTGAAAAGGCTTAAATGACTATGCAGTGAAATATAGAGTTTGGTCATATGTGTCAATACCTCTCTCATCAGTGTGCTCTCCTGCTCCTGCTTGTTTATCCTCCAGAAGCATGCAGACCAAATGACAGTTTTCCATTTCTTATGTGACTATCAATGTTCTAATCTGTCTCCTGTTTGGGTATGGAATCCGGTACAAAAGAATTGTCTCAGACTGTGAGGTCTTTCATACCCACCAGCTTCCTTTAATGCTCTTCAGTTTAAAAACTCATTCACAATGTTCTTGTTTTAAGTGCTAGAAGTTTGGTGTCTTTAAATGTCTATACAGAGCTCATATGCCTGTATACATATTCTGCATAACAGAAGAATGCCTCATTCCTATGATTCTGAGTCCCTGCTCATCTACAATCTTTTCTGCTGGACATTAAATCCCTGTCTTTTGGCTTCTGTCTTTTGCCCTGTGCAGAAAGTACTGTAAACCTTTCAGAGAGCACTGCCATGGAAGTCTTGCTGGTTTTAAGATGCCTAGATTTAGCCTCCCAAATCTCTGTCCTGCCTCTTGTTTTGCCCTAGGTGACTCTGTGGACTAGAACTCCAGGATCCTTCCTGGTGCATTTTACAAGCCAGATCAGACTCCTAAGGAGATCTGCCACCTCTGCATGCCTCCCCAGCCTGCTCCCAGCTGCTGGTCACACATGCCTCCCAAAGGTGGTGTGGGGTCACAGCTCTGCTGTGGCTTTGCATGTGCACTCACTCCTCAGCTCAGATCTTCAGGATCCAAAGCTTTGCACAAGGGTCCAAAATACTGGAGATATTTTATATTTATTTCAAAACAAAAAAGCTGCTTTGCAAGAAGGGAAAAGTTTAGCACTGTTCTTCTTTTTCCCTAGCCAGCCTGGACACCCCATGAACTCTCCCCACTGCCCACAGAGCTGCCTGCACCACTAGCAAGGAGCAGCCAACCCAATTAGTCCCTTCCCTTTCAAAAAGGACACAGACCCCTGAGCCATGCCAGATGCAGGACACTGGGCCCTGTAAGTGCTGGAGCATAGACAGTCCAAGATGGCTTGCCTCCTTTTAATTACTTACAGTTACAAATCTGAAAGTATAAACTCTGAAAGGCTAAACAATATCTTCTCCCATGACTTATTAAAGTTGAATGGCACGCAGCCTTGTTCTTTTGCCATGCTGTTTCACAGAGCTTCATCTCAGACCGGTTGGCGAAAATTCACTTTAAGATGAAAAGCTTTTGGAAAGAGAACAACACATTCTGAGAACATAACAAGTATTCCGAAGCAAGAAAGGTTTTCTCTTATTTTTAAAGTTAAGCTCATTAGGGATTGGACTTGTGTTTTGCATGTGATGTTGCAATGGCACCAAAGCTGGCTCCTTAATAGCACTAGGTGAAACAGACTCACCTTCTCACATCTCCCTCCTGCATGCTTCTCTCCTTGTCCAGATACTCTGTTCCTCTTACCTTCAAACCTACTGGAAGATCTGCAGGCTGTGCATCCTTTCTCACTCTGTCCAGGAGAGTTGTGTCTGACTGACTGGCTGATGATTACAGGCCGCTTTTAGTCTCTCACTGAGTGTACGGTTGCCTTCTACTGAAGCAGAGATGCAAATAAAACATCCTCTAGAAGCTGGTTTTAGCTGTGTCCTGTATATCTGCAGCTGTGCTTCTCATAATCTCTGCTTCTACTGCCCTCTAGTATTGCAGAATTTTGGTTCACAAAAGGCAAAACAATGAACAAAAATTCTGATCATCTTCTGTTATCTTTCTACTAGATTTCCTTATTTTCCTGCAGGAGTGTAACAGTTCTTGTACTTTTCTCCAAGGCCATTTAAAACTCCACCCCTCCTGATTTTTTTGCTCTTGCATCACAAGTCACAGCTTCAGTCTTTTCCCGCTTCAGTTTAATCATGCCTCAAACCACTTTTTTAAATACACAGTTCTCATCTTTTTCAGACTTCTTCTTGAGTTCACCATTAGTCTCAAACCCTAGAGAAGAACAAAGAGATCATGACAACTTCACAGGGATTTGTAAAGCAGAATCAAATCATCTTTGATCCCCTTTAGAGAAATATGTACAAGGGACCATTATTTGAAACATGCTGTGGTTCCTTGTTTTCCTGCTTCTCCTCAGAGGTGCACAGTTTTGAGAGCTTGTGTGCTCCACCATTTCTGGTTAGATCCCCAACATGAACACCAGAGGCTTTTGTCCAGCAGTAGTACTTTTTGTGAACTATTTTCCCTTGTTCTGCTGTTTCTACGCAGAATGACAAAAGTAACAGTGTTATGGTCTGCATTATATTTGAACTTAATCATTTTCTACTTCTGTGTTTTCCACTGAACAGAGGACAGGGGTTTTTTTTCCCTTTTAACCAGTAAATAAAAAAGAAATCACAGAGTAATTTGACAACTTTGTCATCTTGCTCTCAGACAGAGGACTAGCTTTCATTTTGCAAAAACTTAAGTAGTTTTCGTGATTAAACTCACAAAGTGGCTGAGGAGCCAACTTTTCTAGACCCCAGTGTCTGAGGTCTAGCTTTTCAAAACTTTTCCTCATCTGCATCATCACAACTTTTACACAGCTGTGAAAAATAATGACAAAAAATATAGGGTATTACTAGGGGAAAACACTGACTGTGGTTTTAAAAGGGGCGTTAACTTTGGGCTCAAAAGGGACATTGACTGTGGCATCATAAGAAAAATAGACTTAAACATTGTGCTCCAGGTAGAAAAAAGTGAGAAGTCTTGGCTTGAACTGATGGTGAAAGTTGCCTTGCTGGAGCAATTTCCTTTTGTCCATGATGCTGTTAATTATGTGTGTGTATATATATATATGTCTATATAGGTGTTCCCATGAGAAAAAAAAATCAGTTTTTGTAATGACAAAGTGGTAGCATCATATTCCTTTCTGGATTAGAATATTTTACATTATCAAGATCAAAGTAAAAATTTCGATAACAACTGACAAATTATTTCCTTCAGTTGGGCAGAAGAGAATGAAAAGAAAAACAAAAACGGGAAGGAAAAAAAAGCCACAGGGACAATTAAAAGTAGGAGAGGAGCAAGAGGCAGCCAAAACAGAGCACAGACTTTATCAGATGGGCATACAGAGAAGCTGGCTGGCACGACCGTGTGTTACGAGTTGGAGAACAAAATTGATGCTGCGAACACACTGCTTTCCTTTGATGCAGTGACTAGCATCTTACTTAAGAAAAGACACTGTGTACAAGTGCCACACCATTTTACGAGCACTTGACACATAGCATTAATCATTTTTCCTCACTAGAAGCAGCTTGCCAAGTATTGTTCTCTGTTCTGGGAGTGAATTCAATGAGCACTTCACCTACTTAATAGAGACTGAAAGCTGGCCTAGGGTTTCACTTTGAAGGCATTTTGCTGGAGCTTTCCTGTCATAATGCATTCATTTCTATAGGATTTAAAATCTTTAGCTCTTTAGGAGCTACATGGGGACACAGGTATCTGGGGGTCATTCCATGCAGTTCAGCATCCTGCCTCCAACAGGCTCCATTTACTGTCAGTCTGGGAAAAGATGGAAATGACTCAGACAACTGCATAAAGCTCTCATAGTGGGAAATGTCTTCCTGCCTCCTGTGGATATCAGCATGTGCCCCAAAGCATGAGACTTGATTACCTTACTGCAGATCATAAAACTTCTAATGTTACTATAAAGCCTTCAGGCTATTAGGCATTTTCTTGAAATATAGCTACCATGTCTAGCGTGATGACTCCCTGTACAACAGGCCATGTGCCTGATATTTCCTTGTACTAATTACCAATCATTAATATCATCACATGAGCCCTGTACATAACTCAGTGTCCATTTTCAAGAAGCAAAGGGCCACCCATTCTTAGATTCCACCAGAAAATAAAAGCTCAGTCTTGAATTTGGGGCTAATGGAACAATTTGCTTACAAGAAAGGTCTATTCCTCCACTTCCTACAAGCAGCTGTGCACACACACACACCAGTCTGAGAGCCCAGACCTCCTCTGTAGCATGGACAGCCTTGGAGGAAGCATGCACCTGCCAGCTGTGCAAAGTGGGTCACCAGCTTGACCATTAGCATTTTGCCCAGAGGCTTATTCTCAGCCTTGTGGTGTACATGCTGTTTGGCCCAGGGGCTTGGGTAAAAAAAGCCCTGTGAAGCAACCATGCTTTGGAGAATCTCAGGTCTGAGCTATTCCGGGAGGAAACGAAAAAGAAAGAAAGAAAGACAAAGCAAAGTAGTTTACTGCAGGCTAAGCCTGTAATCTCTTGTAGTAACGCTGACAGGCAAATGTTATGTCATTTGCTTGATCTGCTCCATAACCACTGATGACTCCAAATAGTCTAGGGAAAAGATTTTTTTTTCTCTAGCCCTATCTCCTGCAGATTGTTCAGATGTGAAGAGTTCTTACCTTCCCCTAGAAGAGACAAAATGCTCTTCTTTAGAGCTGTTAATATCCAGACATTTGGTGGGCCCTGGAAGTAAGGACCCTGCATCTCATCTGGACAGATACACCTGGTAGCATCACTGGCAAAATCCTTGCTGCCTTAAATGAAACCAGGATTGTACTCCCTGACTGCAAAAACTTCAGGTTCTGCAATTTCTCTACAATAAGATCTGTTATTCTCAGAAAGCTTTGCTCTAGAGTTACCCTTTAGGTACTTTTTTACCATTATCTTAACAGGGTTTACAGGCAGCATAATCAGATGGATTATACCAAACTCTGCTGGGGCAACTCACACAGTGGCCCTGCAAGCAGTGTCCTGTCTACCTCCATGGAGCTCTTTAACAGTGTGCAGAGGGCTGTGGCATTCCCCTCCTACAGGGATAAGGAGACAAACATACAAAGTTATTTATATATCTAATGTCATCAAAAGAGATGAAAATAAAAATAATTACACCCATACTGAATACCTGTGTAGATGGCACAGAATAACTACGAGAAGACAAGCAATAATCTCTGCCAAATAGCAATGATCTCTCTGGTTAGACATAGACCTGAGTAGGGATTGAAAACCTTACACTTGCCAGAAAGAATAACCATATGCCCTATCTATTAAGTTGTGCCAAAAGGCATCAACATATTTAAAATAATAAAAATACAACTGAATATATATTGCTCTACATAAATATCTCACAAATATTTCACAATTTCAGAAAAAGTATAAAGAATTGAGAGAAAAATGGCATGGGTGATACACTGGTATCAGAATGAGATGAAAAACTCCATCTCACAACACGACTGAAATTAGAATGAGGGAAGGTTTGCTGTTTAGCTAAGTGTCTGTATTGGCTTAATTCTTTATGTTATCAGATCTTAATTTAATTAGAATTTTGTGTTGAAATAAAGGCAAGAACTAAAAATTAAATTAAGCCAGTATAGCAAGTTTTTCCCAACTTTAAGATGATATCATCTATTTTTGCAGGGTTTCTACCTGAAAGCACTTTTTACCCATGCCTTAGATAACAGAGGACATCAACTGAGCTAGAAAATTAAGATCTGGATTTTTAAACTTTCATCTTCAAGGTTTAAAAAAATTTGTAGCAAGGCTTTTTGTTTTGACACAACCAATTCAAATGGCTGCAGTTGTTTGTGAGTCCTTCAATTAATCCGCCCTATGACATTTTCTCTGTGACAGGACACTAGACAAATTTTAATCTGCCTCCACTATCTGGAGAGACCATTCTGAACCCTTTAGGCTTCAACCAGTTGTCACTAGTCTCAGGGCAGAAACATGTCTTTCAGAAAATATGGATTTGTTCACGTGCAATGGTTCTCCATACTTTTTCTTTCTGACAAACTTCTTTTTTTTCTGATAATATTTTATTTATGCACTTTCAATATAAAACTGGAGCAATCTGTCAGAAACTAATATCTGCAAAGAGGAGATCTGGTAAAAGACAATGTTTCTTATGTCTATGCAATAATTGGTTTTCCACTGAATTAGAGAATAAAGTACAGGATAAACAGCGAAATGAAAGTACTTTAAAATAAGCATCCTATGAGCATTCTGTGACTTGAATTCCTTGCTATACATATAGAGTGAACCAATTGATTGTTAAGAGCATGTTTATTGAGGATTAACATTCATGCAAAGGATGCAGGCTTCCTAAGCCTCAGCAAATCTGTTTTTAATTTTCAACTGGCATATAACTATCCAAAAATAATGAACCTTTAAAAGCTACATTGAAAGCGTATTGAAGATATTTGTTTCAAA